CGTCCCTGCCTCCCTAACCTGTTCTTCCTCCCACCTATCCCCTCCTCTCACCTCAAGCCGCACCTCCATCTCCTACCGACCAACCTCATCCCACCCCCTTGACCTGTCCGTCCTCCCTGGACTGACCTATCCCCTTCCTAACTCCCTACCTACACTCACCTTTACTGGCTCCATCCCCGCCTCTTCGACCTGTTTGTTTCCTCTCCACCTATCCTCTCCTCTATCCCTCTTCTATCCGCCTCCCACTCTCTCCCTATTTATTTCACAACCCCCTTCCCCTCCCCCTTTTCTGATGAAGGGTCTAGGCCCGAAACGTCAGCCTCTCTGCTCCTATGATGCTGCTTGGCCTGCTGCGTTCATCCAGCCCTGCACCTTGTTGTCTCCATTTCCAGCAATGGTTTGGTTTCCCAACCAACCAGAGTTATCTCCGGAGTGTCCCCTCATTAATCTTTCCCTGGTCCTCTTTGTTTTACATCATCTGTAGCTAGATCAGCTTTCATATTCACAATGCAGTAAAAGATGACAAAAAAGGCTGATATTAAATTGGCCCCAAAGTATCTAAAGGAAAAACAGTCATCACACAGCAAAGGATTGATCTCCATAGCAACAGGAAAAACCCCAGTCCAGCTAGCAAGTCACATGGACAATTGCCTGTGTTGTGGACAGCAAAATAAAAGAAAAATGACAATTAATTTTATGCTGTAATTGTAGGAACCTACTGTTGACAAGCCACTATCCAGAGGTGTGATACTATGTTAAGAGGTCTTTTATAACAAGGCAGAGTTTAGGATAAAAGACACATATATCCTCATGAGTCCTCCAAATTCACCCTCACCTCCCCATTGTGTCACCAGGTGAGACAGCTTCCTGACTGCTTGGTTCCTCAGATGCCTTGATGCAGAGTTACAAATTTCCTGTGAGGTAAATGACTGGGCTACAAGAGAAAGGCAGTCACTATACAACAACACCATCTGTAAAATACTTGCAGTCTTTCCAAAAAGCTCGAGTCAACCTTGAGCACGTAACTTCCATAATGAGGTCAGTAACTGATAATGAAGTACTTCTGCAATACACTTTCGTTTTGGAAACATGAGAGTCAATTTGCTGTTTGTGGAACACACTGTGTGCAACTGGATTTATGACTGGATAATTTTGATTAAAGGACAAATATTGGACAGGGTATGAGAACACACTTCCATTCTCTTCTTCTAAAAGGTGTCATGGAACTTTTACATTCACACAAGAGGGCAATTGGAGCTTAAGGTAGACATATAATTCCAAAACGTTATGCATTTTAGGAAACAAAGAGCATCTTAAAATATTTCTAATACACACATGCACCCAAGACATTATTTCAATATGAATATCAATTTTCTAATACACTTCCTTATAATGCATGGCATCTTTATTGGATAATGAGGAATTGTTAATCAGTAACCCTACAGAAAAGGAGAATGTCATATAGATTTTGAGTCCAGAGGGGAGACGGTAGCCTAGTGGCAATGTCTAGTAATTCAGAAGCCCAGATCATCCTCTGGTATCATGGGTTCAAGTCCTACCGCCACTGCTGATGGAATTTAAATTCAAATAATAATTTGAAATTGAAAGCTGGTGTCAGGTTTGCACAATGTTCTGAAAAATGTGCATCCAGTTTACTGTCAGATTTTGCTGTCACTTCAGCTTGGTCCTCCACACTTGCAATATTGAGAGTGGATTTCACCGATGAAGAATATCGACCAAACTTGATGTTATCAATTTGAGTTCTGGACTATTTTAACTTTTGAGACAACTTTACATCTTTTTGGCTGCTGTTCATTGAAATGGGTGGAAACAGCACCATTTGCCAGCTACCAAAGATCATGGGGCTTAAAGGATACATCTTAGCACTCATAAGTTGTTGGTACGGGACTGTATATGACACAGACTTATATGCAGCAGTTTGTTTTGCGGGTGTGTACGTGTACGTGTGTGTGTCTGTGTGTGTGTGTGTGTTTGACGAGAGAGGAAGACATTTAGGATGACAGAGTTTGTTTAGCATGCTCTTGAGGAAACCAAAGGAGCACTCATCACCTTACCAAAAAATAACACGACACATCCTTCACAGTGCTCTTGTTATCATAACCCAGATTTCATTGAGCAGAGTGCCCACGGAGGCTCCATGCACACACAATGACTAATATAGAAGTATGAATAACTGGTCTGTGCATATTACCAGGTTCCCACCCAAGTCTGTTACCTGCTTTGACAGGCTAAAAAAAAAAAGACCCATTTAAGACAACAGTGGTCAGTAAGAGGGTGCAAGTTTTCAGTCAATTTTGACCCATTGGCTGCCTCATTGTCATTGGGCAGAGAGCATTAAAACGACTTCAATGTCAATGTTCAAAATTAGATTGGATAAGTGAAAAGAGATGCAAAACAAATATGAAAAAGGATGGAATACAATGTGAGAATGTATGAGGTCATGCATTTTTGTAGGAAGAACAGAGGTATAGTCTATTTTTCTAAATGGGGAAAGGCTTTGGAAATCTGAAGCACAAAGGGACCTAGGAGTCCGAGTTCTTGACTCCCTTAAGGTTAACATGCAAGTTCAGATGGCAGTTAGGAAGGCAAATGCAATATTAGCATTCATTTGGAGATGGCTAGAATACAAGAGCAGGGATGTACTGCGGAGGCTGTATAAGGCTCTGGTCAGACTACTTTTTGGAATATTATGAGCAGTTTTGGGCCCTGTATCTAAGGATGGCATTGCTGGCATTGGAGGCAGTCCAGAGGAGATTTACAAAAATGATCCTGGGAAGGAAGGGCTTGTCAAATGAGGAGTGGTTGAGGACTCTGGATCTGTACTTGATGGAGTTTAGAAGGATGAGGAGTGGATCTTGTTGAAACTTATTGAATACTGAGAGGCCTGAACAGAGCAGACATACAGAACATGTTTCCACTAAAAGGAGATACTAGGACTCGAGGCCACAGCCTCAGAGTGAAGGCACGACCCTTTAGAATTGAGATGAGGAGGAATTTCTTCAGCCAGAGAGTGGTAAATCTGTGGACTTCATTGCCACAGACGGTGGTGGAGGCCTAGTCACTGAGTCTATTTAAGATAAAGATATGTAGGTTCTTGATTACAAAAGTGATCAAAGATTATGGGGAGAAAGCAGCAGAATGGGGTTGAGAAACATATCAGCCATGATCAATGGTGGAGCAGGCCCAATGGGCTGAATACATAATTCTGCTCCGTTATCTTATAGACTTATGGACAAATAAATGTGTTAATAAGTATTCTCTCATGTACAAAGACAACATCAATGAGGATGAAATCGATTGGTTGGGCCAAATTGCCTGATTACATTTTCTGACATCCAAACAGTATACACTCATATTAAAATCAACTTTGAGAGTCCAATTTTGTAGGCCTAAAGTCACAGGGTCAACTTTTACATGGGTAACATTTTTGAGAGGTTGATATGCATGTTTGATTTGAACTGAAGTGAAATTCAAACAAAAATGGAATAAAATAAAAACCAGTAGTATTACAGTTCATACTAATTATCATTCATTTTTTAAAAAAATTCATTCATGGGATGGGGACATCACTGGCTAGGTTGGCATTTATTGCCCATCGCTAACAGTCCAGAGGATGATTGTGCAGGGTTGCTTTTCAGATGTGTGCCACAAAAATTGGTGCTGGGTCCACTGATTTTCGTCATTTAAATAAATCATTTGGATTTGAACATGGGAAGTACGGTTTATAGGTTTGCAGATGACGATATAAAAAGGTGGTGTAGCAGACAGCCAAGAACATTACCACAGAGTATAACTGGACCTTGCTCAGATAGGCCAATGGGCTGAGGAGTGACAGATAGAGTTTAATTTAGATAAATGTGAGTGTTTCATTTTGGAAAGGCAAATCAGGGCAGGACTTATACACTTAATGGTAAGGTCCTGGGGAGTGTTGCCAGACAAAGAGACCTTGGAGTGCAGGTTCATACTTCCTTGAAAATGGAGTCCGAGATAGACAGGATAGTAAAGAAGGTGTTTGGTATTCTTGCCTTTATTGGTCAGTGCATGGAGTACAGGATTTGAGAGAGCATGTTGCGGCTGTACAGGACATTGGTTAGGCCACTCTTGGAATACTGCATGCAATTCTGGTCTTCCTGCTACACGAAGAATGTTGTGAAACTTGAAAAGGTTCAGAAAAGATTTGCAAGGATGTTGCTGGGGTTGGAGGGTTTGAGCAATTGGGACAGGCTGAATAGTCTGGGGCTATTTTCCCTGGACCATCAGAGGCTGAGGGGTGACCTTATAAAAGTTTGTAAAATCATGAGGGGCATAGATTGGGTGAATAGCCAAGGTCTTTTCCCCAGGGTAGGGGAGTCCAAAACTAGAGGGCATAGGTTTAAGGTGAGATGGGAAAGAATTAAAAGGGACCCAAGGGGCAACTTTTTCACGCAGAGGGTGATGCATGCATGGAATGAGCTGCCAGAGGAAGTGGTGGAGGCTGGTACAATTACAACATTTAAAAGGCATTTGGATGGATATATGAATAGGAAGGATTTAGAGGGATATGGGCCAAAAGCTAGCAAATGGGACGAGGTTAATTTAGGATATCTGCAAGGCATGGACAGTTGAACCAAAGGGCCTGTTTCCATGCTGTACAGCTCTATGACCGCTATTAAAACCAAAAATTATGAACATTGCAATCATTACCTACCAGTACTCTTAGTATTTATACACTTATAATGAAATTGAAACTTTAAAATCTCTGGGATTATACTTTGGTCATGAAATGTTTGGGCTTTGATTCCTGAAAATCTGGGATCAACTTCAATAAAAGGTATATGGAAAAATTGCTACATTTTGAGGCCAAAACTCATGGGGTTGACTTTTATACAAGACTGACATTTACACTACTAAATACAGTAAATTTGCTCTACAATATGCAATGCATATTCAGAAATCAACAGCATTCTAATACCAAATGCCAAAACTGTGATAATTTAAATTATATTGAATTAGCAAACTCTGAAGGAACAATTCTGTCTCTACCCACGTGCGGGAAACCAGAAAAGTTAGCAGTTAAAATTGCCCAAGTGCTTATCAACCAAATCTGCCAATGTTATTTTGATGCAAATTTATAGAGGGGCAGCTAAGGTCCTCCTTCCTCCTCCCCAAAGCCAGAGAGGTCCTTTTGTAAATGTACAGTTGGTAACTAAAATTTTAACTCCCATCTGATCTTCTTTGGTGTCCTATCAGTTTGAATCAGGTCAGAAAAGGATCAGCATATGAAGAAACCCTGAAAGACTCCCCCAAGTATACTGATCTGGTTCCTCTAGGCCAACAAGGCAAGTTAAGACTTCCTGGAGTCCCTTTCCAACAATCAAAAATCATGGAAGTGAAAGACAGTGCTGACAAACTTGTGCTGCTACTTACGCTGTCCCCAGTGACCAGTAACAGGGCTTAGATAGTTGGGGTAAAGCCCATGAGGTTTTTCTAGCCGATTCAGAACTTTCCGGATTTTCATCACCTGAAATACACAAATTTAAATTTAGGAAGTTTTAGAAGTCACATACAATATTTTTCTTGCATTGATATGGGAATAGTAGCATGCTGGTAATCTTATTGCAACAGTAATGCAAAAGTTTGGACTAATGCTTTGGAAGCGTGAATTCAAATTGCATTACTGCAGCTAGGGAAATTTAAATTCAATAAGTTAAAAAGCTGTGTCAGTATGAAACCTCTGAACTGTCGTAAAAATCCATCTGGTTCAATAATTTCCTTTGGGGAACCAAATCAATTGTCCTCACCCACTCCAGATGGAAGTACAAGGCACTCAGTTAGACCAAAACTCTTATGAAAAAGTCAAATAATAATACAACAAACCTCCTAGCTTCAAGCTAAGCATGACATGTTATAAAGGCAGTCTCAGTACTTTTGATCCTGCAAAGTTCTACACATTAACATCTCCATATCCCCAAGGCCGAATCCATTAATTAGGAACTGTTAAAAATGGTCATTCCACCCAAGATTACAGACATACTTAATGGTTTGCTGGGCAGATTTCAGGTGCTACCTGAAATCTCTCTGCCACCAGTAAATTCTGGTGGGCTCAGGGTTAATGGTGACAAGTGGCTCATAAATGAGTTTAATTGACATTTTGCCTTTAATGGCTCTTCCCTCCCCAACTTAATTGGACAGCTTTCTCAAAGTCAGTATTTTTGCCCAGTTCTCAGGCTCCATTAAATTCCAGCCATTTAGACTGTTACGGTCACTTTGAAACTTCCTATTCTTACGCGTAGAATGTTTTTGCCTGATAATGTGGTCTGGTCTGCAAACCACGATATAGAAATGGGAGGCCAGTGAACTCATCTTTTGTGTGATGGCTGTTTAAAAGCATTTGGCTCAGTCCTTCAAGCTCATTCTTTATTTATAGCTCTAGAACTTCCTCAACTCAGGAACCTGTTCAACTCCCTTTAAAATAACTTATGGAATTAGCTTCAACCTCAAATGGACCATTCCAGATCCAAACAACAGTGAAAATTTTTCTCCCTCCCTCTCCTTCAGATGTTTTGTTGATGAATTAAGTCTATGATTTTGAGAATTCAACAAACCTCTTAACATTTTGAAAATTTCTACTGTAAAGGACAATGCATATTTTACTTGGAAATATAAACTGGAAAGAAGAATTTTTTTAAAAATTCACTCGTGGTAAGTGAGCATTGCTAGCTGGGTCAACATTTATTGCACATCCCAATTTCCCTTGAGGAGGTGATGGGGCGTTGCATTCTTGAACAACTGCGGTCCATGTGTTGTAGGTTGACCCATGGTGCCATTTGGGAGGGAACTCCAGTATTCTGACCAAGCCTCACTGAAGGAACAATGATATATTTCCAAGTCAGGATGGTGAGTGGCTTGGAGGGGAACTTGCAGGTGGTAGTACACTCATGTATCTGCAGCCCTGCCCTTCTAGATGGAATCGGTTGTGGGTTTGGAGGGTGCTGTCTGAGAATCTTTACCAAATTTCTGCAGTTGTATATATAGTACCCACTGCTGCTACAAGTGGCAGTGGTGGAGTGAGTGAATATTTATGGATGTACTGCCAATCCATCAGGTTGCTTTGTCCTGGATGGTGTCAAGTTTCTTGAGTTTTGTTGGAACTACAGTCATCCAGGCAAGTGGAAGTATTCCATCACCCTCCTGGCTTATATAAAACAATCACACGAGGTGTAGCAGTAGGCAGTTCAGCCCCTCAAGCTTCCTCCACTACTTAACATGGTCATGGTTGACCTCATCTCGGTCTCAACTCCACTTTCCTACTGCTTCTCATAACCCTTCAACCCACTACTAATTAAAAATCTATCTCCTCCATAAATTTGCTCAATGTCCCAGAATTCACTGCATTCTGAGATTGTGAATTCCAAAGATTCATGACTCTTTGAGAGAAGTAATTTCTCATCCGTTTTAAATCTAATACCCCTTATCCTAAAACTATGACTTGTGCCTTGTGGATGGTGGAAAGGCTTTGGAAAATTAGAAGGTGATTTACTTGCTGCAGTATTCTATGCCTTTGACCTGCTCTAGTAGCCATTGTATTTATACGGTGATTCCAGTTGAGTTTCTGGTTAATGGTAACCCCTCAGGATGTTGATAGTAGGGATTCAGTGATGGCAAGGCCATTGAATGTCAAGGAGCAGTGGTTAAATTGTCTCTTATTGGAAATGGTCATTGCCTGGCATTTGTGTGGAACAAATGTTACTTGCCACTTTTCAGGTCCAAGTCGTGTTGGATTTGGACATGAACTGCTTCAGTATCTGAGGCATTCCGAAGGTACTGAACTTTGTACAAACATCCCAATTCTAACCTAATAACAGAGATCAAGTCAGTGATTAAGCAGCTGAAGATGGTTGGACCCAGGACACTACTCTGAGGAACTCTTCCAGAGGTGTCCAGGAACTGAGATAATTGACCTCCAACAACCACAACCAATCTATGACTCCAGCCACTGGAGAGATTCTCCCATCCCGATTTCCATTGACTCCAATTTTGCTAGGGTTCCTTGATGCCAGACTCAGTTAAATCCAGCCTTGATAGCAAGTCTATCGCTGTCACTTTATCTTTGGAATTCAGCTCCTTTGTCCATATTTGAACCAAGGCTGTAGTAAGGTCAGGAGTTGAATGGGCCTGTTGGAACCCAAATTCAGTGTCGCTGGGCAGGTGTTCCTTGATAGCACTGTTGATGCCACCTTCCATCACTTTACTGATGATTGAGAGTAGACGGATAAGGCAGTAATTAGCCAGGTTGGTTTGTCCCGATTTTTGTGTAGAGGCAATTTTCTGCTTTGTCGAATAGATGCTAGTACCGTAGCTATACTGAAACAATTTCGCTAGGGGTGCGGCAAGTTCTGGAGCACTGTTGGAATGTTGTCAGGGTCCATATGGAGTGCCTTGAATGTCCCTGATATCACATGGAGTGAACTGAATTAGGTGAAGATTGGCATCTGTGATGTTGGGGATCTCTGGTGAAGGCCAGGCAGGTCTGGCTGAAGACTGTTGCAAATGCTTCAGTCTTATCTTTTGCACTGACATGCTGGGCTCTCCCACCCTGGAGTTGGGGATATTTGAGGAATTGTTGTCTTCCAGTGAGTCGTTTGATTTTCCACCACTGTTCACGACTGAATATGGCAGGACTGCAGAGATTAGATCTGATCCATTGGTGTGGAATTGTTTGTCACTATTATTTGTAGCTTCCCCAGGTTAACACCTCAATTTTAGGTATTCCTGGTGCAGTTACTGCACTCCTCATTGAACCAGGCTGTTCCTCTCGCTTGATGCCAGGCCACAAGTTTAGAGTATGATTCTATTGCTACTGATGGGCCATAGTGCCTCATGGATGCCCTGGCTTGAGCTGCTGGGTTGTTCAAAGTCTGTCCCATTTATTAGTGATAGCAACACACGATACAATTTAAGGTATTATCGATGCGTAGGTGGGACTTTGTCTCCACAAGGTTAGTGTGCTGGTCACTCATATACAGATGGATGCATCTGCGGCAGGCAGATTGGTGAGGCTGAGATCAAGTATGCTTTTCCCCTCTTGTTGGTTCCCTCACCATCTGCCACAAACCCAGTCTAGCAGCAATGTCCTTTCGGAATCAACCAGCTCAATCTGTAGTGCAGCTGTCAAGCCACTCTTGGACATTGAAATCCCCAACCTAGAATACATTCTGTGCCCTCATCACCCTCTGTGCTCCTTCCAAGAATATTCAACATGGAGGAACACTGGCATCTGCCAACAGAGGACAGTACATGGTAATGAGCTGAAAGTTTCCATGCCCACATTTGATCTAATGCCATGAGACTTCATGGTGTCCAGAGTAAATGTTGAGGACTCCCAGGACAACTCCCTCCCAACTTTATACCACTATGCTACCATCTCTGCTGGGCCTATCTCCTGTTAGTAAGAGAGGAGACATCCAGAAATGGTGATGGACATGGTAAGGCATGATTTCTTCCAGGACTATGACTGTCACGTTAAGGCTTAGCCAGTCAGTGAGACAGCTCTCCTGAATTTGGCACTAGACCCCAGATATTAAAAATTTTAGACATTTGAAAATTTCAATTAGCTGTTTACAACTTGAAGGAAAAATGGAATTGCATCAGGTACTTTTGCTGAAAGTAGATTTGATAATCTTATGTGTCAAGCAAGTTTACATGACAAGTAGGCGTTGGTAGAATTAAAAAAGTGGATTGGTCTTAAATAGCAGTTTGTCACAGAACAGAGAGGAGTGAGGGTAATTCAAGAACTGTTATTAATATTGCCACATGTTAGAGAATATTGTTGTTATAATGTTATTTTCTTCTTTATTGATGAAACCTATTGAGTTTTTTAAAAAATCCTTAGTGGTCACACTCAGGCAGCGACTATCCTAGAGATTAAATTGGTCATATATCATTCATTTGTGACAATAGTGGAATAGTATAATTTTCAGCATACTATTCCCATCAGGGTAATCATAGTACTTGGCTTTGTCTCAATCTTCATTAGACTGGAGAAGATAACTGTATTTAAGATTCCAAGACCACAGTTTTGATGAGAGCTTTATTTTAGTTAACTACAGTCTATAAAACATTCACCCACTAAATAGGAGGCCTCCTTTTTATACACAGTTCACATCCAATTAACCCTTCATTAATATATCCATTCCATGTTCCCTCATTCCATTGGTCTGAAGGAATCTCTTGAGACCTATTTCAGATATGCAATAAAAAAAACAAAGACACACACACAGGATGACATATTATATTCCCATTTCTTTTCTTTGCACATTAACCTTCACAGGATTTTGTTTTTGCATAAGAGGCATGACTTAAAATGAGAAGTTTTACGTTCATGACATCTCTCAATGATAGAAACTTCCATTTTTATTTTTTTTCAACATTGTTTGCCAAATTAATATCTTGCACATTTAAATTTTTCAACTTTTATACTTAACCCTCATTTCAAAACTAGATTCTGGCCTCATTTGGGTG